TACAGATGTGTCTCTGCAGCACAAAAAAGTATTCGATGCAATCTCTTGCGCATATAAAACACGCGCGTGTAAAACAGCACGAGCTCTCGCGTGGTGCGCGAACAGGTGTCGGAAGGGGAGAGAAATCAAGAGCGCCGGCGGACGATATAACTCATATGAACCCATAGCCGCGCTATTGATCGTAAGTCACGTGCGACGGAGAGAAGAAAAAACCCGAAGAGAGACGAAGATTTCGATTCTCATTACAGATATGTCTCGGCGAGCGAAACGATCCCGCGCCTCTTCGGCCGATTGGAACTTTAATGGAGGTTCGATTACATTCGACGCGGAAAAACGCGTGCGGCCGATCACCAAGAAAGAGAGGAAGAAGGAGTAAAGAAGAGGTGGCGATCGATCGGCGACCGCGATCGCCCGTGAGGCGAGAGAGAGAGAGAGAGAGAGAGCCAATCATAATTATTGCACCCGTTAACCCCGGGAGCCGCGCGCCTCGATGTAATCCTAGATAAGCTCGTGTACCGCGCTCGTGAGAAACAATGTAATTTGATTAAAGTAAAAGCGACAAAGCCGCACGAGAATTCTTTAACACAGCTTCAGCAGATTTTACAAAATGCGACTCGAAAGAGAAAGTACATTGAAAAATTTCGCTGTCTCTTGAATGTTGCTTTTAACAATATTTTTTGTTCATTAACTTTGTTTCGATAAATTCTGTTCGAACTAGAGCAAAATCTCTTTCATTCTTTTCTCCGCCAACAACAAATCGTGATCGCGGTTTCGCTCATCGCGTCTCTCGACGCGACAATAGTCGATTCGTTACCTCGCACTTGCGAAACGCGGCGGTGAGCAAAAGCACATAAATCAGGAGGCGACCGGGAGAAGGCGACTGAGCGATGGGCGCGATAAGAAAGTCTCTCTTCGCTCGGCAGAACAGAGAAGACTTTCGTCTCGGCGGAAACCGCGCCGCTGCTGTTGAAAGCTGCTTCCGCGCGTGGAGAAGACGGCGCCGACGTTCTCGGATCGCGGTTTAATCGAATCGACGGTCTTTATTCGGGATACGCACTCGATTCGTTGTCCTTGTATGGATCCTTTTGGCCAGGCGAAATCGTCAATTAGCTCGAGCAAACTGCGCAATTGCGATTATCGCGTTCTCTACGCTACGTCATCTGCTCCGAGAGCAATAAGATAGGGAGAAAAAAATGAAACAAGAGGAAATAAAGGCGAGATAAAGACTTTTATTTAATTCTCGAATGGGGGGGGGGGATTCTCTTTGTCAAAAACAAGTCGGATTCGTAAATTGTCACCGGATTATTAAAAAAATTCTTAAACTACCGCTATTCGCGCGTGCTGCAAAATCCAGTTTGTGCGCGTGCGCCGACATGCAGCAAATTTTCTCCTTTATGTCTCATCGTATCTCTCAACTCTGTTTAGACCTCTACGTTCTCTAAGAAGGAGAATATCACCCGATTCCTTGATATTTCTATAACTTTGCGACTTAAGGACTTTACCTGCTGCGAGTTTTTGCTACGTCGCGCATACATCGACGCATTCTTCGCTCGCAGGCGTCGTCGCCGTAAGCGGATTAGTCCGCTTGATTCGCGGCGGAGGCTCGATTTCGCGACTTTATCTGGATACGGATTTCTGCCTCCTCTCGATGTCTCTCTCTCTCTCCGGGAACACCTTCGTCTCTGTCGCTAGAGGATTAAGAAGCACTCGATCGTCTCCCTCTTCTCTTTCCCCCTGTCAGGCGCGTTCGGGAATCGGAGAGAGAGACTTACGAGAGAGTCGAACACGCGCGAAATAACACTGGGATCGGAATCGGATTAAGGCTTGACCTAAGCACGGCATCTCTTCATAAGATAATGTAACGTATTTATTGTTTTCTTTTAATTTTATTACATGGTTATCTGTCATTAATGTTATCTGTTTATAAAAAAGAGAGAATGAATATTAATTAGATGAAGATTTTCTGCGCATTCCCCGGAGGTCATTTATAAATAATTTATCAAATGACAAATCCAATCATCCAGTGGAAAAAAAACATTGCGAATTCTCGGAAAAAGACGCAAGAAGGTTTTGCCACGCAATTTACCTTGAAGATAATTAAAGTCGCTCATAAGTAACCACGGTGCCGAAAGCGACATGACGCAGAAAATCATTTGGTGCGCGACGAACGAAATCGATATACAAAGAGAGACAGTCATTGCATAATTAAAACAAACAAAGAACAATTGGAAGCGCGTGAAATTGCGAACGATGGTGAACCTCGTCGTCCTTGCGGTTCGGAACTTGTGTACACGGTTCGCTCTATATAATTCCGCGAGGCCTCGCAGAAATCAATTGAGCTTATACTTTATATTCATTTTTCTCAAAGTTGCTTGACAATTAACGATAACGGTTAATTGGTGATAATTTTATTTGTATATTACAAACACTTGAAGTATTTAATTTTTACAGTTCAATTCTTTAAAATAAGATATTTTAAAAATATAAATCTAACAATTTTATTTAAAAAATTCTATGATTCATCGGAAGATATATCGCATTCGATAGCGATCATCGATATCATTGCGAAGAAGCCGGAGATTCCTGCGTGACGTTCGCTCAAGGACGCGGCGGAAAAGTCAGCGGGATTCCGAGGAATCTGCGTTCCGCGTTCAGTATGAACGATGGACATAGCAGTAGGGTTGTTCCTGAACATTTATAAGACGCTGCCGGCAACGCCGTGTGATAAATCAAATCTCAGCCTCGTTCGGGACAGCCAAGAGTTGGCGAGGAGAGGAGAAGGAAGAGGGCAGGGTTAAACCGGACCCTCGTGGGGTCAGATCAACTTTCGTTGCCGCGCAAGAGAGGGAGAAAGCAAAGGGTGGGTAGAGGAGCGATCGTCGAGATCTCGAGATGAATGCCGAGCAGTGGGAAAAAAAGACTCATCTGCATTCCTGTATGAAAGATGCTCCTTGTCGCTCTCGATAATTAACGGCCTTATCGTCGGCCGCGCGAGTCTCACACACACACAACGCGATAATTCTTTACGCTTTTTTATTGCACAACTCGAAAAAAAAATTCAATAAATTATTGAGAAAACGCCGTGTGCGTTACCGCGACCGATCGTTATCGCGAAAAAATTGCGGATCTTCTTACTGATTTTACCGGCTAGGCGAATGTATAAAAGAAACAAATCCCCGATTTCATATGAAAGAAGTATATTACGTAAAAAAAAGAAACTCTCACACCGATGAAAAGAGAATTTTTGTGTGATTCTCCAACGCAATTAAAAAAAAACACACACACACTTTTTTTCGTCTGAAAGAAAGAAAATACCAATCTTGGAGATTGCGCGAAGATTGCGCTTGTTACATATCGTGACAGCCGCGTTTATTACCTTACGGGGACATAAAAATTCAGTTTCATATTCTGTTCTGCAATATTATCCCCGTATGGGGCCAATTATGTTTCGGAGAACAGGCACAAGCCGCCGTTGTAATAAACGCACATAGACAGATCGGTGCTGGAATCTCGGATTAACTATATTGAATGACCGACAAATTTGTACTTGAGTTTTTTTTCAACACGCTAATTTTTACCGCATAAAGATTTCGAGAGCCAAAAGAGAGAGAGAGAGAGAGAGAGAGAGAGAGGAGCAACATTTTGTAATCCACCGAAGCGCGATGTACAAGCATCGCGAAATAACGAAATGCACTCCGATGTACAGCTGTCGATAAAGCCCCGCTTGACCCTGACTGTCGGGATGCATTACTCCGAATGACTGGCGAGCTGCCAGAACGGGGCTACGCGCGCGGTAAACGCGTGTGTAATGACAGGTTTCTCGCTCGCGCACACGAGACGTGGCACGAACCACGGCGCCCTTCGATGATGGGGCACCATTTTCGACAAGCCGAGAGAACCCTCACGTCTCAGAGGCACCAAATTGGTGCCCGACGCGAATTGGCATAATGACGGGTATCGTGCCGCACCGATAGCTCGACCCGAAGAATCGAGTTCGTGCATATATACGTGTTGCTCCGACCGTTTGCTGAGGAAAGAAGATAGCCCGTTTAAAAGTGTGGAACTTCCGACGTAAGGTCGTAACGTTGTTAAAGGCGGGAAGAGATACAATTTCTTATCACGCGCACGCATATCCGTTTTGTATATTTTATCATATTTAATGTCAGTTTTTTTTTGTCAAACGCAATAATTGTTTATTGTTGTTCTTGTTTTTTATCTTAAATTATTTGCACATCGCGGCACTGATACGTCTTAACAATTTCTTCTTTTTTATTATTTTTTTACATTTATAAAAAAAGATTCTATTTAAATAAATTAAAAAAAAAAAAAATGCTGTCAGTATGTTTGAAATATTAAAATTATATCAATGCGTACGGCCAAAAGGATTGTGAAGAGTTGGCGAATCTCTCGATTGTGAACGAGAGTTTGATACAGGTTTTTCTCCGCATGGTCGGATGGTTCTATTCGACCCTTCACCACCTGTCCTTCCTACGATTCTACCCTTGCGGCCCGCGGCCTCGTTTCGGGCCTATTGTCCGCGGCATGTTTTATGAGAATTTTAATTACCTAATTCAGCGTGCTCTTTCTCCCTCTCTTTCTATCTTTCTCGAATTGCCGATGAGACGCTGAAGCCATCCAAGAGATTAAGAACCGACTGCTTTTACGCAAGCCGCATTGAAGTCTCCCGATCTGAGTGCTCGTTCTATTCTCTAAGAGCGATCAAAGAATTTTATTGTGACACTAAATATACAATGCGTGTGTCTCTACTTTTTTTTTTATTACACGTAGCAATTTTATAAGAGCACTAAAATTTCTTCAGTAACGCAACATACAAGTTGTTGACGAAAAACACAATAAATAATTGCAACATAAATATATTTTAAAAAATATCTGTAACAGTTTTTTTACATTTAATATAACAATTACAATAATTTCTTATTTTTGTTAACGTTCTTCCTTAATTGTTGCAACCACGCGGAGTATAGCACGTTTTTCTCCGGTCTGTCAGTACGCGATCCGGCGATTACATTTGACGCGTTACGGTTCGAAATATTTCCCACGTTCTTCGGATTTTGCGGAAAGTCAAATATGACTAACTGTGACCTCAAAGGCGTGTTGTCCTTCCTGTCAAAGTTCGAATGCAACGATTCCATAAATGACGACCTTCTCGCATAAGTGCAGTTGTCTTTTGACGTTACCGTAGATTCTATCTGCATCTTCGATCTGCTTGACAGAAGACTATCTGACGTTGGTCTTCTTGGAAAACTAACCGATCTCGAAACATTTCCTTTACTATTTCCACTCAGCAAGTGTTTCTCGTTCTTAGACATCAAATATCGACGTTCAGGATGATTCTGCGATACGACCTTGTCTGTTACATTGGTTGTTTTATTTACCTTGTTTGCGGAAATCGGTATCTCTGTCACAGGTGTTTCATTTTTTGAACTCGCGCTTGTTTGTTTTCGCGAAGAGGACGAGAGTTTGTTCGCAGATGTGACTTTGTTGCGCGATTTTGCCGAATTTTCTACCGCTTTTGAGGAAGTTTTTATAGGTGAATTAATTTTGCTCGATTCCTTCGATAATGTCTTCGAAGTCTGAGGTTTGAACTTATCTCGTGGAACGATAACGTTTGCGGCTAATTTTTCCTGTTTCGTTAACGTTGTTGGCTTCACGTTTGAGGAACTTTTGAAGTTCGGAGAATTTAAAGCTGCGGCATCGTTTTTCCTTGTGTACGGTATGTTGTTGACATTGATTCTATTCTGCGTTTTAACTTTTGCTGTCACATTTTGTTCCATCTGTGACGTTTCTCCCATCTTTTCCGCAGGCCTGTTTGATATTAACTCGTCATTATTCGATCTTTCTATTGACTTTGCCCGTAACTTTGAACCGAGCCAAGTGTCTTGCTTTTTCTCAGTCGATTTCACAGTATTCTGAATATTTTTTATTCCAACCTTCGTGTTAGATACATCCTCGATAGACAATAGATTCTGTTTGAGCGAGTATTGCCTTTTCTTCTCGCGATTTTCTGGTAATGAGAAGTCCTTCGCGTTGCCTGGCGTTTTGTGCCTCCTTCGCAAAATGGATTTCCTCTCTTTTATACTTAAACGCCGATTTGTATCCGCGATTGGTTTTATTTGCTCAATTTCAAAGTTGTTTTTATCATCTTCTTCCAAGTTTTCTTCAGCTTGCAAAACACGTTTTTTAGAAATAATGGCGGAATTTTCCTGATTCGGTTTTACTCGAAACGAAGAGGGATAGTAAGAGACCGGTTTGGATTCCGAGAGATAATCCGTACAACGCGGAGAAAAAATCGGATTGCTAGAACAATTTGCATTGTTCGTTGACTGGATTTTGCTCGTAAATGACTTTGGAATTTCTTTTGATTTTTTCGATTTTGCGATAAGATTTCGAGGCGATTTAAGATTTAAGAAAGTTTTTTTTTTTTTACTCAATGTATCTTCGTCCTTTTTCTTCATCTTCTTGAAGGAATCCGAAGAAGACCACCAGGGGATCATTTTCGAAGGAAAACGAGAATCGGATTCAATTGTATTGTCCTTTTTCGTCTCCGGGGAATGTACAGTACTCTTGGTTGTTTTCATCTCTACCTTTTCTTCTACCTTTTCACTTTTAGGAATTTGTTTTTCTTTGCTCGATGAAGGGCGTGTTATCGACTCGTCACTTTTAAATACGTAATTGATCTTCGAAGTGTTCAGTGGAGATGGTGGTATAGTGTTTACCTTTTCCGTTGTTTGTCCGATGCGACTCTTCGTAACTTCGTTCTGAAAATTGGCGGATATCTGCACGTTCAATATCTGCCCACCGCTCAGATCGGTTTCCTTCGCGAAGACGCTTTCTTCTCGGATATTGCTCGGTGCGCTCGCACCGTCGTCCTTGGCGAACGGTATCCTGATCTCGATTTTGTCCATCGAGCTCACCACATCTAGCTTCTCCGTTCGCGCGGTAATGCTCTTCAGCTCGGAAACCGGTTTGCCGTTGATTGAAAACTCAATCTGTTTGATCGGCGCGGAGTTCTCGCTAATCGAAATGCGCATCGGGCCGCGCTGCGACGCGCTTTTAACGCTTTGCTGCTGAAGCGTCGGTTTGTGCGTCCGTTGATTTTCCGCCGATTGCGAATCTCGCTGTTGATCGGATTGCACAACGACGGACAACTGTTTGGTGGCAGAATCCAGGGAATCCGATAATCCGGAGACCGAATCCACGTTGATGGAGACTAGAGATTCTTTCTCGGACGGCACCATACGCAATTTCATCTGCGGTTGCTTCAATGCGCCGGCGTTATCGCCACTTGGTACGTGCGTGAAATTCTTCTTCTTCGTTGAGGAACTCGTCGTCGCCGATGCGCCCGCTGGCATCGCTGCTTTGCTGTCTGACGTCTTGGTGTCGTATGAAGTATTGTGATCTCGCAAGTTTGCTTCTCTGACCGTTGTATTCTTCTGTTTGCGAGCTTCGATGATTTCGGAGAGCTTGTTAATTCTATCTTGCAACTTAGCAAAATCAGATTCTGGAATGTCGTTTTCTCTTGCTTTGTGGAATTTTTCATTCTTCGCGGTTTTTCTCTCGAAAACGGCTGCGTTCAAGTCGTTCGTAACGTTTTGTATTTCTTTCGTCCAATAATCATCGGTTTCTTCGCCCGTGATAGCCGCTCTAGAAACAGCAGAACTTGGTTCTTGCACGTTCGTGCTACTGACATTTCTCGTCGGAGTGATCTCGAAGGATTTACGAGAGTTTCTGGACAGAACATTGCTCTTTAACATCAAACCGCTGTTTGTAACATTCGAGAGAGACATATTGCGCATGTGTTTGCTGCAATCGGCGATTAATTTCGCGTAAGATCGATCGTCGCTCTTCGTGGCGACGCACTCCTGATCGATATTTTTGTTCACATCGCGATGTCGAAGATCGAACGACTCTCTCGCGTAAGCGGAAGGAATTGAATCGTCGTTCAGCCGTTTGTTCGAAATCTTGCTACGTTTGACAACTCTTGAAACTTTTGTCAACGGCGGCGTTGAGACTGTGCTAAACGGGCTCTTGCGTATTCCATTGTTGAGATAAAGATTGTCACTTCGCGCGCTGGATTTCAGGATTTCGCTGTAATCGGCTATCATTTCCGCGTAAGATCGAGGACGTTCGCCGATAGACGCAACGACGCTGTTACGACGATTTATGACGTTCGCGTCCTTTCTGATCGAATCACTTTGAAGCGTGTGTCGATTGTTAATGCCGCTGCCGTCGAACTTGACATTTTTGCACGTGGAATAATGACACACTGATTTTACTATTTTCCGCAGCGGTAACTTTCTACTATTTACCGACGATTGTTTGTTCAACGACGTCAGGCTGGATCTCGCACTTTGCGGCTTGTGAATTGGTTTGCTTTCTTTCGAGACAAGTCGCAGATTCCGATGGAACTGTTTTCGACATTTGACGCCGTGGCTTACCTTTGACGGGGATATTGGGTCTACGGTCTGAAATCTGAGTGTTGGTTTCTCCAAATACATGTCCGCATGCTGACGTGATAGCGAAACGGCGCCTGTGCGATAAAAAAAAAAAACGATTTTACTTATTAAATATTAAAAAATACACGTGTACTCGGCAAAACTAACGCGATGATAAAAATAATACATATAGTTCTTTATGTATACGGAGAAAATCTTCTTATGCTTGCAGAGAAAATTGGGAATAAATTACTTGTATAGATCTTACCGACTGGAGTATGACGAGGAACACTTATGCGAGGAATATATTTCAAATGATTCATTTTATATAATCGTGTGAAGAAAACTTGTTTGTCACAGGAAAGCAAAAATCACTCGTTCGATTTTGACTTGCCGCCGAGGACAATAAATTTAATTGCACGTTCTTCGACGATAATTATCTTATTACACGCGAGAAAACATGATGGATTTAACGATTCTGTCACAGACAAATGTCAGAAAAAAAAAACAAATCACTTTTTACACGAATTTTACGTATGTATATTCAGATCGTACTCTAACTTCAGTATTACACCATGTTCAGTATTTATATTGACAAGATATTCTTCTGCTAATTTATATAATACGTTTGCATATACATTTCCGTCAAATTGCGTAAGAATTTTTTTCGAATTTAAATTTTCAATACGGAGCACGTTTCCGCAGCTCATTATTGGCATCTTCGCGCGATCTATCAAAGTTGGTACCTGCCTCGCTTCCAAAGCAAAGCGTATGTACATCCATCCGGAGGTTAGATCTCGAGGATAAGAGAAATCCGACTTTAACGCGCGGGCTCTCGAGGCGGCACAATGGTGCCTCGAGTAGATACGTTTATCTTTGCGATCTTCGCTTCCATGCCGCGCATCAGGTTTGTCCTCTTTGAACACCGGTCGCCTTATTCACGACCCTTCTTCGTATGTAGCACGATCTTTGCTTTGTCGTTTTCTTTGTTTTTGCTCTTCTGTTCTTTCTTTTACGGAATTTGCCAAAAATCAAAGCGAAAACACGCCGCTCTGGTGTTATTTCATCAATGTCACATTTGTGTAATAAGTAAAATTTTCTGCTACTTCAAAAAAACTGTTTTTTGTTTTTAATTCTATAATTTGCAAGATACTGATGTTAAATATACTCTGATACTTAAGATCTTCTTCGTTTATAAGATTCGTCGGGGATGAGTTTATAGCACGCGAAGTCGGAGTCACGCCGCGGAGTTGCACGAAGATTGGAGGTCGACCCGGGGAAGTTTTATCCGTGACTTGAAACTCCGACCGCGGAGCTCTCGCTCGCGAGACGATCGTGAGCGGCGATTCTGAATTTCGTGGAGCACTTCTCTACGGCTCGTGTATGCTCGCACGATATCTCTCTTGTTCATGCGCGAAACCCCATGGAAGCTCATCACGAAGTCACGAACGTTATTAACAAACCGCGAACGTGATTCATGCCAGACACCAATAGAAATCGACGAACGCGATTTAACGAGCCGCTACTATTTTCGTCTGTTTTAATTATCTCTTTCTGTCTCTCTGTCTCTCTCTCTCTCTCTCTCTCTCTCTCTCTCTCTCTCTCTCTCTCTCTCTCTCTCTCTCTCTCTCTTTCTCTCTCTTAGCGTCTTTAATTATTTGCTTTATAACACGCGCTATCGGGATGGCGTTTTATTCTTTATTATCTCTCCGTTGCATTGCGATCTTCCTCACATTATCGACACACAGCTCTTGCTTTAAATCAGAATTACAAACGTCTTCCTTTTCTTCAAGGATCGCTTTCCAAATCCGCATCGCTCTCGCTCGAGGAACAAAGCTCGCTTTACGGCATCCGATCATGCAATCCTTCGAAGGCTGCATAAAATAAAAAGACGAGCCCATATACGGCTCCTAGTGTGGGAAAGTGATCCAGCGGTGGAAACAGTGGGTTCGCTGGTTGGCGAACCGATTGCACAGTTGTAATTTAAATTCTAATTCTCCAACTCTTCCAAAAATAAAATAAAAACAAGAGAGAATTGCTTTATTCCAAGGAGTATTCTTCAAATATCGTAAACACTCAATCGAACCGATTGAAGCATAGATCAATTATTCAGTAGATAAAAAACTCGAAAACGCGCGAGATGCAAAACGGAAAAGAAGAGTGTATTTTCAAGAGTGTATTTCGACGCGCGCTACACGATACACGATGAACTCTTTGCCGGAGCGATTTTCAAGGCATCAGTATCTCGCTCACGCTCGGCGTTACCGTTATCCGCGTATTTCTCCTTCGCCTTTACCTCACTTGTTACCTATTCTCATCCCCTTATTCTCTCCTTCATCATTCAGCCAATGGTTACTCGTGTCTCCTCGATTTTTTCATCTCTTTTTTCCGATCAGAGAATCGTTCTTCTTGTTCGCTTCGGTCAATTATCGTTGCGCGCAGGTTGATTGATGAGCCATTCTTTCGTATTAACTCCGCCCTGTGCTCGGAGTAGGTTAACAAGATACATCGAGCTAATTGCCGTGTATGTGAAATTTTCAGGAACGCCGATTTCCCTGCTAAGTTTTCCACACACGCGCGCTCGCACAGAAACGTGTCACACATTCTGTCTGAAATGGTTTTTATCTTCTTCAAAACTTTCTTAGATAAAATTTTGTATTTGATATTCTCCGCGTTCTCTCTCTCTCTCTTTCTCTCTCTTTCCACACAACACGCACTCTATATCTGTTCTTTGATGTAACTATCTTTCCGTCTTATCGTTTTTTTTTTAAATCCTCGAGTTTGTGTACACGCCGAGGCGTCGCAAAGGTGCGCGCACATCTCGAGGAAACGAGATGACTTTCGGTGAGGGAGAAGATCGGACAACACACAGTAAAGGTCGCGCGAGTAGGATTCGCGTGTTGCGAAAGATAGCGGAGCTTGTATTTCATCGTCTCGGCTTTCTCGGAGTAAGTTTCACTTTTTGCGCGAGTTTATTGGCGATGATAAATTGGCATACGATACGAGACGGGATATCATGCCAAGCGGGATAAACAGCGGTAAATCACGTCGCTCTGTCCGCACTTCCTCGTTAGCGATATTATTCCGGAGGACAGTTAATAAATCTTGGGTTCTGCGGCGACAACGCCATTCGAGCGTCATTAACAGAATGGTGTCAACCAGACGTAAAGCGTTAGCATTAGTTGGCTGTAGGTTAATTGATATAACAGACAATTGCATGCATCTGTAAATTTTGAAGATTGTGCATTCACTTTTAATTTTCAAGTTTGTCGCACTATTTTTTTTTACAATACAACGATCAAGCGAAATTGTTCGCGAGCGGACGATCTCAGACCTTCTCACTTCGGACTCTCTCTCTCTCTCTCTTTCTTTCCGTCTCTTTCGCGCGGTTTTAGCATATTGTTGTCGAGACTCTTCAATTGCCCATCTTCCGGTGCACATACGCATTTCACGCGAGCGCCCTTATATCTCGCCGTCACCATTGTTGTGCGCAAACGTTACATGGCCGGGCGTACCTACTGTTAAGAAACGGCGACAGAAACGGGGAGCGTTCACCCGCATACAAATTGATCCTTTTTGCCGGCTCGCTCGCGCGCGCGCGCGTCCGTACAGCGGCATCTTATATACGTGGCACACACCACCATCACGTTTCTCTCCCTCGCGACCGCCGAAAAACCGGCCCAGGTTTACACACAGTTACAACGGGGTTGTCGCGTTTTGTGGAAACAATCAGCAGGTTGTCGCGAAACAAGGATATGAATGCATAAGCAGCGCAGTTAACACGGAGTTGCACGCCGTGTTCTCGCCGGCTCCCTTTTTGTTTCGGACCCTCGTTCAAAGGATGCCGCTTTTGTGCCCCGACCGAGAGAGGAGGAGAGACGAAGGGTGTGAGGGCCGGAAAGACGAAGGACGAACGAGAGGAACGTAGGTCCTTCGCGACGATATATATACGATCGATGTTGTAGTCGCACGGCCGCACGTTTTCTCTTATTGTCTCATCCCGGCGCGTCCGCGACGCTCTGCATTCGTCGCTCGACGAAACATTCTCTCCTTCTCTTCTTCTCCGCGTAGAGAAATTCCGAAGACTTCTTGCGCGCCGACGGACTTCTTTCCCTTGTCTCTTGAATTTTCTTCGACATGCTTTCATTTCTTCTTTAATGATCGATACCTTGTAGTTTATTGTATTTATTTGTTTTTTTTTTTTATTTTCTGTTCTTAATTTTCTGCGACACACGCAATGTGAAGGGAAAAAAGTTGAACGAGCTGAAAGACGAAATAAATTAGACATCTGTTCGAATTCAACAGATGATCTCCATAAAGGATTTCTTTTCGCGCGCGGTTTCTCCCACACTCGTGCCAGTGGTTCTCATCGGGAATATAAACGGCTCTCGCGCTACACGTAGAAACCACGCCTCTTAATCTTCTCCCGCGCGGACGTTGATAAAAAGGTCTTGCAATCGCGTTTCGCCGCAACGAACAACGAACGCACGACGGCGTCGTCGATCGCGCAGGGCGCCTTCGATTTATTCCTTATCGGATCGGGCAAGAGGGAGGGTAGATTACGCGGATACACGTTGAGAGAAATTAACGAGGCCTGGAGCGGACACGCCTCGGACGATCGGCGATTAGTCACTGCAGAAAGTATCGATGAGCGCGTGCTGATCTGTTCGAATGCAACAATGACAAATGCATCTCGCGCGTATGAGAAACGAAATACGAGCAGAAAGTGCATCTCTCGATCCTCTTAGATTCTAGTTCCGTTCTTTTATCTGATGAGTTTGCAACGCGATAGAACTTTAGAATAACAGTCGGAAAAAGTTGGGGTTCTCACTTTGCGTGCTTGTGTGCATGAAACACAAGCACCGATTTATAACGTTATAGCGTTACAACCAGATGGTCGCCTGTAATCGGAGCTGATGCCGCTTTTGTTTCTTGTCTTGAATGTAAATTATTCGATTTTTCGCGGCCTTTCTAATCGCGGTGAAATTCCAACGTTGCAACGTCACGAGACGTGTGTCGCAAGTCGAGAGAAAAGGGCGTACCCGTGTGTTTTTGTTTTTCTTCGCGGAAACATTAATTGGTTCTTGTTATGCAAGCGGTCACGATGTGTGATTTGTGACCACTATTTTGTTTGCTATAAAAAGAAGAACAAAAATGTGTCAATCGCTAATTATCTAAAATTATCTTTCTTACGCGCGCGAGTATTGTAACGCGCTGTGGTACATTGAGAAATGATTATCTTGCGACAACAGTCAAATAAATACCTACAAATAATTAGCATATTTAAAATGTTTATGCAGAGACACGTGTGCTCATGCAGAAACTCGCGATTAGAGATAGCTATAAATAGAGGATTAAGGTCTCATGGACGAGAGCGATAAAAATTTGCACGAGTCCAGGCCGTGTAATTAAGCGCAGCTTCTCTCTTTCTTTCTCTCTCTCTCGACGGTCTTTTAAGTTCGGGTTAATTCCGCCGTCCGAACGGTATATGTCTGGAACCGGTTCGCAGCTCCATAATTTCCAGTGTGTTTTCGCATTTTTGGCGAAGAGTCACCGCGGTGCAAATACTTATCGTTGATTTGCAGACGTAACTTATCAGAAACACGCTTGTTACTTTGCGCGCAAAGTGAAGAGATCTTCTCGCAAATATGCGTACATGTGTGAGTGTGTGTGTGTGTGTGTCTTGAATCCATTAACTCTCTGCGGTTCGAAGCGCGAGTTTACGTCACGAGTTTGCGGAAATGCGCGCGTGCGATCGCCGCGTATTAGGGACTCCCCCCGAGATCTCCCGTTCGAAATGTCTCCCACGTTCTCCTCCGTTGGCAGACAGCGTGGTACCGTGGCGACCGCGCGGGAGGATCGCGGAGATCTGACAAAGAGGAACGCGCGCGCGGGACAATCACGGGCGACACGATCACGAGTGTCCCTTGTCGCCGACGGCACGTCGTCGGCTATCGATCGTAATTAATAGGAACGGTCCAGAAGAGGGCGAAGCTCTAACGAGACATCCGCAATCAGGATGTTGCGGCGCGCGACGTCATTTGTTTAAGTTGATCCCCGACTTGTCGCGCCCGAATAAGGCAACTCTCTCTCTCTCGTGTGTGTTAGCCAGTCCGCGGGGAGTGCGAAAGAACAAAGAGGGTACGGGATGTTCTTTCCCTGAACGAGATCGCGACGAGAGAGGCGGAGACGAGAGACAGAGGAGAACGGACACCTGCTGTTAGCTGGGGCATTGTCTTCCTCTCTTCTTCGATTTTCGCCTCCCCCTTCTTTTTCGCCCGTCTTCATCCCCTCGTCGTCTCTCTCTTCGTCGTTTTCGTTTTCTTCTTGTTCTCCTCTTCAGTATCTTCCAACGTGATCCACACACACATACAGAATGCCCCGTTCCCCGATGGCAATTCTCAAACGAGACGATGACACAACAACCGCCTTGTGTAAATGGCGAGTGGGGGTTTTTTTTTCGCGGTTACACGCTTTCTTTTTAAATCAACGAACAGACACCGAGTGTGGAATCCATTTGTCGATTGCGATACAGATTCAATGACGGAGAGTCGGACGATAAAAACGAGAAGTTAAAACGTTTAATTACGTCGCGACGAACACACGATCGATTTTTCTCTGCTCGTCGTGTAAAACGATTTTAAGTCTATTTAATTACAAGAGGAAACGATATTTTCTAACAAAATACTAGTTTACATCTTACTGCGAATATAAATATCACTTTGCTCTCTATCGCAGTAACTTATCTTCTGCAATAATAACGCGACAAACTCGCGCGTATAACAAATTTGTGTAATTAAAATCGCGCATAAAGCAAATTGATTCGAAATTAACAAAGTTTGTTCGAGATACAAGCGTATGCGTGATGATATCGTGTGCTATTTATTAGAAACGTTATATACATACATACACACACACAGACACATTCATGTAATGCGTAATATCATCGAGGATGCGCGCATAATTCAAATGCGTATATATATAATGAATATCGTTGCCACAGTAGTTTAGGGATGAACGCGTGCTGCGCGCACACAGCAATCGGCGTAACTCATCTTAGTGGCTGATAGTTATTGATTTACACGCGTAACACGCGAAACACACTCGAGAGTGCGCTAATGAAAATAACAGAGATTTCAACGCTCGATGATTTACGCTGATTGTCATTCGCGCGTAATATTCGCGTAAAGAAAACAAAGAACGATTCCAAATGTGTCCGTCTAAATCTTTCTTTACCTCAGACTCTCTTGATTTGATTTTTAATTCTGAACGTATACAATGTAATTCTCGCTAGAAATTAATTAACGTAGACAAAAATATGTACAAAGTACCGAAAACGAAATGAGAATATTTTTCTTGAAAGTTGATAATTAGAAACACAAGCTGTAACACTGGGACGCGGTTCAATGTGTCAACCACGCTGCTTTATCACACACTGATTGCCGCTCTTTTCTCGTTTCAGAAGATCGTGACAACTTCGATGCCAGACATGCGACATGCGACCCGGTGAGGAAGGTAGAGCGATGGCGGAAACGATTCTTCGAATTTTCTCCGATCTTCTCCTCGTTCGTGACAGTCAACAGGACCACGAAGAGAGAATCCACATTCAGGTTACCTTAACAAGGCCTACGGGTTCGTGAAGGGCATGATAGCTCATCATGTTCAACCACCGACACGGGCCACCGGCGCTGTCGACCTGCAACTTTCTCGGCGTGACATTTCTCATACTGGTCGTCGTCGGTAGCCACGATGTGTCAGCAGACTTCAATTCCGAGTTTGTCAAAGGAAAAAGTAAGTGTTGTCGCGACACTTCCAATCGGAAGTATCGCAGGAGGGCAAGAAAATTGCGATCATAGTTCGCGATTTATTTCTGCAATCGCGAACTTTCGATCGTGATTCTTTACCTCGCGCACGCAAAAAATTGCGTCGAGATAAAACGCAATATTTTCCAATCGTAAAGTTTAACAAAAGCGCGAACAACCGGTTTTGTTAGCTTTACACTATCAATCTTGTTGGAAAATATTGCAACGCACGCGTTTACATTTTTTTGTTACTATATATTGTTATAATTCATGTCAAATGTCTCGGTTGAGAAACATACTTCTCGTAACGATAAATGTTCGCTTTCTGAGCGACGGAGTCTCGCCCGGAACGCGAACAGGTCGATGATAAAACAGAAACGATGATTTTGCGAGCATCGGTGGACATACTGAGCGCTGGCGGAGCAACATAATTTATCGTTGCCGCGAGTCAGCTTTTTAGCTTTACTCTCCGCTTCTCTTTGTAGAGAACCCTCGGTAGTAGATCATCGGTGCCGTCTTGGAAAAGTAGAAAGCGAAGCGGTGCGCCAGCTCGGCGTGGGCGTCGCTTAGGTGAAGAGTCCCTTTTACTCGCGAAGTACCGTTCTTCTCCTATTTGCTGGAGAAAGAAGGAAAGAAGAGGGAGAAAACGGCGTCTCTTAAAATTTTACTTCTTTCCTTTCGTCGACAGTCATCACGACGTGTAGGTGCATCCACGAGCGATATCGCCACGATCGAGAGACGCGGAGTGCTCGTGGAGCACCCCACCGATCCGTTTGACCCACATAGACGTTGTGTTTGTAACGCGGTGTTGATGACCGCTTCAAGATAGTCACCAGATAGTTTGCGTTGTTATATCGCGCCCAATTATCAGACATGTGCGATTCGAACCGACCACATATGCGCGCCCTCACGGAAGTTGCGGTTGCGAGCGCCGCACGTCGGTAGTTTCTTAGATAAAATTTTATCAAATCACAACACACTCTAGATTACAAAGAGAGATATCGAGCACACATGAGCTCTAAAAATGATATCAATCACAGAAATAGAATGGATTAATTGTCTACGAATATATATAATGCGCGTGCAATAATATTAAATTATCTTAAGTGTAAAAATATTTATGTGTATTATACAATGGAAATTGGTTCAAAATTGTTTTATTTCATATTTAATAATAATATTTAATTTATATTAACTAAAAATGTAATGTGCGCAAACATATAATTGAAAAAAATTGTGCTTTTAATAAAATATAATGAGAATTTAAAAATATATAAATTTTTTTTTTCATTAGATTTAAGAAAGTAGAAATCTAAGTCAGAAAAGTCTGAATCTAACCTGAATAGTGTATCTTTTTTTTAAATTAAATTAAAAAACGCAATAATTTTTATATTCTTTTTTATGGCTGACGAGAATGCAGCTGCTCTACTTAGAGCGCACAACTCCAAACAATATAAAGCAGGTGTTTATTTCCGAACACAGAATCGTCTTTGTTGGATAACCGCTTGGGAGCGGAACGACGCAAATTCGCTGTTTTTCTGATTTATTACGCGCTTTATGAAAATACCGACGTCTGAAATCAACTACCCGTCTCGACGGTGTTTTTGCCGGCGAATGAATAATAAATGCGCGTCTTCGTGAAATTTATTATCCACTTTTCTCACGAGAGAAACTGCTTTTTATTTTATCAGAGAAAAAGAGAGAGAGAGAGAGAGAAAACTCATATAATTTGGAAGATCTATCTCTGAGAACTTTTTCACAACACTCATTAACATACAACTTTTTATGTAAATACGCGTCTCGATAAGTAGCGACAACAAAATTTTGCGGAATGAATTCGTCGAAAAACTCGGACAACTTGATGGCTTTTAGAACAGCTATTCGAGCAACGCATTTCGATACGCATTGGCGCGTATAATCAGGCGAAAGGATTCTCCCGGAATGTTTTTCTTTTTTTTTTTTGTTTTGTCTTTCCATTAACATAATAATCGAAGCGTGCACGCCGCGCATTCTCCGCAGGTGAAAAGTGCAACTTGTCTAACGCGCGCGAAACAGCCACCCAGAATTTGTCGCGCAAAGAGATACCGCCTAAAGTGGTCCTTCGTAAAAGTTTCCATTAAAATGATAAGCTCCGAGTCGATGTCTTCTTGGCCATTAGGCGGGAATAAGCTCCGTTAACAATGTTGGTTTGGTTGGACGAAAAAAATAGAAGAAGAAGAAGAAGAAGAAGAGAGAAAAAGAGAGAGAGAAAGAGAAATGAAAAAAGACGGCAATCCGATGGGAGAAGAGGGAGAGATTGCGAGGTTCGATGAGAGAAGAAGATTTATCTTAAAGGATTATGGAATCGCCGTAAATTAATCGGCCGTCTTTATCGTTCTTGGCTTTTACGGTATATCGCGTTTCGGGATAAAGCGTCTATTAAGAGCCCGAGCACACAGACGCGATTCGCCGTGTAAGGACGCGAGGATATATATATATATATGTGTGTGTGTATTATTTACGCGAGGGAACGGACGAGATGGGCCAACGGTCAACGATTAACAAAAATGACACTTCTCTGAAAAATCGAATGTCTCTTTGACGCAATCCGATTTCAAGATTATTCCGACGCGTTCGTAGACTTTTTGATCTTTCGCGCGATTTTGCTGGCGTTTTATTTGCATCTTAATCTCGAACCAGATTTAAACAAACGAACACAACAACAGAAATCATTACTTGAGACTCGATATTTTTTATTCCTGCGGCGCCACACTCCCGATACGTTCGCGCAACACATTATTCCTCGAGAGGAAAGAATCTTAGATTGCCGCCGTAATCGAATCTGCGCGGAGAATGACAAGGTTCTTCTCTCGTGCGTATCTGAGTGTCATTGCCCGAAGCCCTTCATTTATCCTCGAGTGCTTCGAGAGCAATCAACGAGCAGCAAGAAATTTTATATTCGTGTCTCCCGGCGAAGAGTACGCATCGTCTTACTTCTCTTCGCGCACAGCCGCGCGCACCTAATCTTCGAATCTCCGAGAATTTCTGTCTCCTCGATCGAAGACCCCTTCGGGTACCGCCTGCATCGATATCGTCTACTCGATCGCCGATATTAATTATTACGACGTTTCTTCTTGGGTGGCTGGGGGAATTTCTCGCTCGCATTTGCTTCTCTCTGCCAGGTATTTCCCCACTCTTCGACGACTCTACTTCGGCAGATCGTATCTCCCGGCGGGTAAATAAGGAGTAAGTAACGAGACGACCGCGGCAGCCAGGAACGGAGATTATCGGTACACACACGTAAGCGCGCATTTGCAAGAGGAGACTATGAGATACCGCGCGCCGCGTAATACCGTTTCCTCGCGCGACTTATCGTCGTCGTCGTCGTGGTCGTCGTCATCGATGTAAGGACCCTGGACATCTGGAAGGCGTGCCTTAATTGACCGCTCGGTATATCGACGAGAACTCAGAGACGGATTGAGACGTCAGATTTCCGAGGGACGTTTTGCATTTTTGCTCGCCGTGAAATATAACCGTTCAGTTCAATCGCTCGTTGGATTGATTTATACACTCGATTATTATGTCGCTGGATCCAGTCGGATGTAGAAATCTAGCGTTTTCTCTGCTACTTTTTTTTTTTTTGAAGTCTCTTCTGAAATTTTTTAAAAGCATCGATGAGTGTATCGAACGTTTCTGGCCGTGTCTTCGTGTTTTTCTTTTTAAGGCCATTTAAATTTTTAATTGAAACTCATTTATTCTCGTTGAAAACTTAATCGGACTCTCGCAACGTTGGAATTTTTCTAAAGAACTTGAGAATTGAAAAAAAAAAAAAAAATTAGCAATTCTGAGAGAGACTCGGTAAGGCACAACATGTTCTTATAATATATTTCTTTATCTTTTGTAATATTTATTTAGATATTTATGAAATATTACGTTTACGTAGATTCAGAAATAAAATCGACGAACGTTGCATTTGTGCAAATGCAAATCCGTGCAATCGCAATTCAATTAAGATAGAATTCCACACGTACACACGCGCGACATGTAACAGATGAGCCGATTCTTATTAATCATTTTCATCCGACGTTTCTCTGCCTGGCGGTCATTTGTGGCGGGCTCGTGCGACAGTACTAAGATGAGACCGCGGCACGCGGGTAACAGGTGGTCTTACACACAGGTGCGTACTTATATACACCGACGTAACGCGTCTCGCAACGTGACCGGAGAGTTCGCCTATCGTTGGTGATATGAATGCATCCCTGTTGTAGGTTAATCAAGGGTTTTCGAGGTGCGCGATGACGTGCGTGCGCGCGCGCGATGACAATGGGCGTTGAAATCTCTCGGCGCGAGATTGTGGAGAGATTTCAATGCCGCACAAATGGAGCTGTCAACGTTTCTTCTTGAGCCGTACATTGTATGCCGAATCAAAGAGAGAGAGAGAGAGAGAAAGAGAGATTCGAGGCGGCAATCGTCGTCGATTGATGCGATGACGCGCGGAAAGATGCCACGAAGCGAAGCGCGCTGTTCTCGAATTTCGTTAGATGGTGTTATTATTCAGGATGAGAATGGGAAATCGAAGAGTGTGAAACGCGCTCGATATAACAATGTAGGGAATAATATACATCTAATTTGTTGTCTTGTGGATATATTGGTTAAAAATAAAATTTGCGATTATTAAACAAAACACTTCAAGAAACGAAATCCATCCATGTGTGTACTTTTCCATGTCAGAGACAAAAAATTCGGCTTCGTCGTGCGATCGCAACGAGCGACTATGGTTTTGAAAAAAAAAAAAGTCAGTCGAAGACACGAGACTCTTTTGCCGCGACTTGACAGCATGATCGATGGCAAGCATCAAATCGACTATAAACACCAGCAGGTCTAGCAAGAAGATGTGGGTGGAAGACGCGAGGGTGGGAGGCGTGTGGGTGGCTTTTTCATTGATCGTACTTCGAGAAGAGCTCTTAACAGGAGGCGAACTGAGCTAGAAAGGTGCTGACACGTGCGTCA